TAGATAGATAGATAGATAGATTAGATAGATAGATAGATAGATAGATAGATAGATAGATAGATAGATAGATAGATTACATAGATATGCAGATATATACACACATACAAAATATATACATTTAAAAATCTATGGCCATCTATGCTCAAAATCTATATTTGCCTAAACTTCTACTGAAAACCAGCGTTAGACAAAGAAGAGCACGGAAAGAGAAACAAGCTATATTGGTATAAGAGTGTTTTACTCAGTGTTTCTCTGAACGTTTAGAGGGGTGTTTAGTACTCATGTGCAATCCATCAGCCTGGAAGTAAATCTCCATATAGATTAGCTTTTCTCAAACAGACCCTTTTTAATGTGCATACATTACAATCCCTATTACAATTCTCCAAACAACAGGGCCATTATTTGCAGAAGAACATTTAGATGAATCTGGATCAAATGTTGGACGCTCTCCTCTGGCCAGCTTAACTTAAATGCCACGGTACTTTCTGTTGTTTTGATGATGGCTAGGATTATTTAATAAACCTCTGGAGACTTCCATGCTAGAGATCCTGGCTGCCGTTGACTGTTGCACAACGTAGGAACCTAATTTCTGATTTTTCTTTGGCATTGTTGCTGCTGAAGCTAAATCCGAAATATAGGTCTTGGCCAGAAGGAATGATTCACATGGAACTAGTAAATGAGCTCCTGGCCATAAAGAAATAGAAAGAGACCCTCAAAAAGAATATGCATCAGATTGCGGGATGACATGCTTTGTTGTGGCATGATTGGTGCGCTGCAATATAGGGCCCAGGTCAGCCAAATAAGAGACATCTCCCATCTAACACGGTTTGATTCCATTCTCTGTTGTTTTTCTACCGCTTTAGTTTTTCAAAATCATATTTCAAAGCATCAATTTCTGGTAGCCTAGTGACTGCTGCAACAAGGCCTCCTGTGATTCATTGATGGTGTCAAGTATCCATTTGGAATAAATTGCCTGAGTACATTCAGAATGCACCGAGTACATCCAATATGTTCCCAATCATATTAGGGAATGTGAAGAGTAAGGCTTTGTCTTCGGGTATTTTCTTCCCCCCTATTTTTTTTTTTTTTTAAAAATCACAGGACTCTTGACATGTGGCAATTGGATTGATAGGGATGATTGTTTTGCTTCCAATGGGCCAACCAGACTTTTAGCAAATCTGCCAAATCGTACATTACATGATTAAATGACATCTTAGTGTTAATAAGAACTGAAAGGGAATCTCTAGCAGTGGCACAGCACTGGGAGAGACGAAATAACTTTCCCTCGACAGTTTTCCGAATGCTATTTGTCCCGAAGGGGAAAATAAACAAAAGATCCATTTGCCTAAAATGATTTGACCTACAAGGCAAAGAATAACTTCATAAGTACATTATTAATTGTGAAAGTAATATGGGAGATTTAAAATGCTTTACCCCTCTCCCTCTCTCTCTCTCTCTCTCTCTCTTTCTCTCTCTCTCTGTCTCTCTCTCTCTCTGTGTGTCTCTGTCTCTGTCTCTCTCTTTCTCTCTCTCTCTCTCTCTCTCTCTCTCTCTCTCTATGTGTAGTGTTCCTTTGATATTTTTTCACCGTGGGGTTAATATGTCCTATATTTGTGCATAATCAATATATGTAAATGGTATTAATTTTATTAAAAATATTAGCATGAACCTTTAGCACATCAGTCTGTGGTGGTTTCAGAGTTGACATCATCTGAAGCAAGAGACAAAGCATTTTTCTTTTCCAGTGTCTTCAACTGTTTAACTGTTTATTAAATTTATAGGCCGCCCAATCCCGGAGGACTCCGGGCACCTTACAGAAACAGAAA